GAAGTTTTCAACAAAAAAGCGAGTTACTGCCGTGACTTTCTCTGTTGTTCTGTTGAATAATTACCTTGTGAAGTAAGCCTGGCTGTGTGGAACCACAGTGGTGTGGCCAGGGCAGTGTTTTGGGAGGGAATCCTCTGATCAGCAGCTTGTTGGAACCATCCTGCTTTCAGGGTTGCTGAAGGAAGCAGAGGAAAGCATTCCTCCCGTCAGTGAGTGTGACACCTCAGTGCCTCCTCTGTTGAAAAAAACAAAGTGGTTTTGCTGACAAGAAGAGAAGCTCCTGGTTTCTGTGCAATTCACCTGGTGTTTTCCAGGCACAGCTGCAAGGATGAGGGAATAGAGTTGGACATGCAGGTGAGTCTGTGGGTGAGGTGTGATGGTTCTCTGTTGTATCAGCACCTCCTTTTCATCCTGGAGTAATGGTTCCATGGGCTTTAATCACCAGGGTTGCAAAATAAAGCATTCATTTGGAGGAAGAGAAAGCAGTGTGCTCTACCTGTGGGTATTCTGCTCTGATGTCCTCTGAGATCTTGTGCCAGGGCTCTCCTGGCTGTGTTGTTTAAACAAAGAGAAAATAAATCACTTCAAGTGTTTTTCTTCTCTTTTCTCAACAACTCTAACTCTAAAGGCTTAGAAATGTATTAAATGAATTCCTGTTCCTTGAAAGCAGGTGCCCTTCACTTGCGAGGAGACAAATGACACTCAGAACTCTGGAGATCTCAGTCAAGACTTTTCTTTTACATCAAGCTGCTTTATAATTTTAATTTCACTCTTCTTGGTTTTCGTGTCAACATGTTTTTTTTTTGGTAGCCCTTGCTTTTCAACACCACAGTAGAGCTTAAAGAACCAGAATGCAGTGTTGTGGGCAAATAAGGAGTAGTTTAGGGCTGAATTTGAACATAAGCAGTTTTTTTCTCTTCCTGAAAAGAGCTAAATAGCAGTAACAAGGAAGCACCTTCTTTTCTGGGATGTAAATGGTGTTGCTCCTGCTAAAACAGAATATGGGACTTAATGGTGCAGTGAAGTCTGGGCTGGACAAATCCTTTCTCAATTCTATTTGAGGTGTTAGGTTGCTCAGGGAAGAGAGGCAATATATTTTTTGGATCTTATTGTGACTGGCCACTTTCGACAGTCAAGTGAGGACATGAACAAGTGGCTTCAGTCAGTGAAGACATGAAGAGCTTCATGCTCTTTATCTCTCCATATAATGTATCTTGCTTCCAGTTTGGATCAGTTTTGTCCCCGTAGGTAAGAGCAGTAGCCAGAGCAGGGTGATAGAGATCCTGTTAATTTGGGAGCACATGCTCTTTATCAATAGGGTCAGAAAGGGCAGAAGAGTGAGCTGGCAGGAGGGAGAGCTGCCTTTTCCTCCCCACTGGTGTGCCCCTAAGTTTTCTTGTCAGCATTACCTGTATTCCGTTTTCACACCTGATGCAAAGACACAGTCTTGCACCTGCAGAGCTTCATACAACAGGCTTGTAAATGAGACTCCAAGACAGGATGCTGCCTGCACTGACTGACTTGTGACAGGCAAGTTCTTCCCTTGCTAGAAGCCAAACACCAATCCCAGGTTTATTTTTACATAGGTTATTATATAGCTGCTGAAGGATGACTTCTGATTAGCAGTGATGAGAAGATAATTGGGACCATCTGCCCCAGATGTGGTAAAAGGCTTCCCTAGCTGGCAGCACCTGATCCTCCTTACCACCTTGTCCAAAACAAACACACCTTTCATCACTACCTCAAGGCATCCACAAATCCATCTGTACTTTCGATATGATGTATCTTTCTAGGCTGTGGCCTCAAGGCTTATAATTTATAGTGGTGTAGGCTCCAAGTGATATCTGCAGTCTTTCAGAGTTGTCATTGCCCTGATAGGAACAGAAGCTAACATCTTGTATCTCCCATTACCCACAAGAACTGACTGAAATGTTCTGACCTTGTTAACGTTAGATGTGTCTCCTTGAAGATAATGACTCAAACTTTCTAAGCTCTGTATTTTTTTTTCTTCTTTGTGGCTAATTGTTACTTAATTCAATGAAGACAGAAAGGGATGTAATTTCAAAGGTTTCCTGCATTTAATCAAGAATGCTGCTTTCCTGTATTTAAAAAAAATGCAAACACCACCTCCCCCCCCAGTCTTCCTGCACTGCAGACTATTGACCAATGAAATTTCAGTCAAAGAAGTTTTGGGAAAAGCCTGCATGGGAGCAGATCATCAAAACAGGCAGTTTGCATTTCCAGCAGTCCCTCCAGTGTATGTTTAGTTTGGTGAAAGAATGACCCTGGTTAGGTTTGGGTTTAGTGTTCTTCTCCCTTCTTTCAAAGGAGTGGGAAATCTTTCTACCTTCTGGAAAGGGAGTTTCCCACCTACAAGAGGTAGAAATCTTACTGCTCTCTGTATCCTCCCTCCCACTGAGTTCCCTGCATGTGGGGAAGTCCATTTTTGTGGAATCTCTTAAGAGAAGCTCTTCCTTTGAGCTACTTGTGGTATTTGCATGTGTGCATCTCCTCACAGCCTTGTGGGAATAGACTTTTAATGCCTCTCTTATTTTACCTACTTCTGTTAATTATGTTTTCTTTGTAACTTTTGGTTTTTTGAGACAGTATGCCAGTATGCCAGATAACAATTTATGCTTATCTCTGCTAAGATTCAACTAGGCTGGACTCCTTTCTTGTTGGTTTGACTGACTTCTCTCTATGCCTGTATTTCTTTGCATTTTATGTGAGGATCTCCTTCTACAAGTACGTACTGGAACAGGGGCTGCAATGTGAGAACAAAGACCACTTCAGTATTTTCCTTGGGACTTTCATAAAATAAAATACGTAAAACATCTCCATTAAAATGTCTGGATTGGTGACGGGAAAGGGGGGGAAAAAAGCCTTTTGCTCTAGCAGTGGCTTGATTAATGGATTTATTGTTTGTACAGATTTTGTCAGGAAGCCATATGGCTTGAGGAAAACAAAGAGGAAGTGGCTGATGTTTGGAATCAGATTTAATAGGGGTCCCTAAGAACAGAATGTGGCTCTTATCCTTACTCCTTCCCACTCAGTTTGCAGAGTGGTCTGAGAGGAGCTTTAGGGTTTCAATAGAGCTGCAGATAATGCAGCTCTGTTGGAGCGGAAGTGTCAGTGCCTGCTGCTGGATCAGCATCACAGCCACTCCACTCAGATTCAGAATCCACTCTCCTCTGTATAAAGTGTTCTAGGGTAATTAACAAACAGTGGTAATTGAAATGTTTGCTATTTATGTATTGGCAGTTGATCAGTTTGCAGTAGATGAAGACAACTTTTAGCATCTCAAAGCTGAGTTTTCATAGTTTAGGGTGAGGTGATTATTTCTCTCTTCTCTATCTCTCCCTCCCTCAGCAAAATTCAAGCAATTCAAGCATATGTTCTTCTGGATTAACTAATTCACCATCTATATCCTAAAACCAGATTTATTTTCCTAATCTAACATGTGTAAGTGGGGATTGGTAAGTAACTGGAGCTCAAGCACCGGTGAATTAACCTGATGTGTTGGATTAGATGAGTGTTCTGCATTTTCTATGACTGATTGACCCTACTTAGGACTATGCGGTGAATAAACCCGAGTGGAGAACTTAAAGGAATGTTCTCTAATGGAACTGAAATGAAGTAAATTAAGGAGATTAATACGCATATCTTCCTTCTGTTAAATTACAGCTTCTCAGCTGAGAAACATAAATTTGCAAAAAATTATTCTGTTCATTTCAGAGCTAAAGGCTCATGTGAACTGTTAGTAAATGTTACTGGGTCTGCAGAGTGGAAAGCACAGAACATCACAAAAACATATTGTGGCAACCCAGAAATTTAATTAATACCAGTTTGTGAATGAAAGCTGCATATTCGGTCAGTCATGGTAAAAATTATATGTGCCTGAGACTTTTGGAGCTCCTGAATGTCCTGTTGTGGAGTTTTGGGCTATAATGAGAGATGCAATTACTTCTGTAGGGCTTTGATGCATGGTGTGCATGTTTTAGTATTTTACAGACCTCCCTTCTTTCCAGATCTTTAAGAGGTTTTTGTTGTTTTCTGAACTGTTATGATGTTCTTATGCTGGAGTTGGTACTTATTACATCTTTCCATCAGATAGATATTAGGAGACAGACATTTTATCTGGACAAAGTGCAATATCTGACAACGGTGGTAGAGGAGATGCTGAAATACCAGTGAGAAGTTTTTCTGATTTAGAGCTGTTTTTCCATGCTGCACTCTATAAAGTTCCCATGTAGAGTTACGCATAATAGATATGTTCCTTTAAAATATAACCCAAAGAATCTTTGGTCATGAAGGCTTAAAAATAACCACATCTCACATGTTCTCCTTGGTTGTACCATAATTTTAGGCAATATCTGTCACAATGATGCTGTTAAACGTTGTTGTAGTAAGCATCCCTTCCAAGCTGATTATTAGTCTTAATCAGCAGTTTGGGATTTGTTACCTTTTGCCCAGTTTGTTTGGCTGTTGGTGCATACATTGCTCGTGATTCACTGCTGCGAGGGAGTCAGGGTATGTAGCTCCAGAGCACTTGGAGGTTTATACGCTGGAAGTTACCCAGTTTGAGGATTATTTTCGTTAAAAAGAAAAATGGGAAAGAAGATTGTGAAATAATCTCCTATATTTACAATTTACCAGTGGTAGATGCACCTGACTACCTAATACAGTGCTTAGTGTTTGGTTTTTGGTTTTTTTTTCCTAATGTTCTGGAAAGCTGTTCAATTGTTTACCACACTTATTTATAGCAGGAACATGTCACACCAGATATAAGAAGCAGCAAATAAAGAGCAGTATTCCAAGTTTCTTTTGCATTAACTTTTCAAAAATAAAATACTGCTTGTGTGTACCATGCTGTTGTAGATCTATAGGTGCCAGGTGAACATGGTGTTTTTCCAAAACATTAAAGGAGGAGGAATAAAACTTCATGCTCAAGAAGTTTGTTTCACTAATGTATAACAATATTTCTCTTTTTTTCCTTCTAGGAGCTGCCCTCGTCAGCAGAGTGAACACTGATGCCTAGAGTAGCAGATTGTGCGTAAGCGGACATCTCTGTCTTTATCTGCAGGTAAGAAGTTAGCACCAAAACCCTCCAAGAAAGAATTTCCCTGTTCTCTTCTGAAAGTACTTGCACATAAAGCATTCAGAAAACTCTAAAACTTAGAGTCACAGAATGGCCTGGGCTGGAAGGGACCTTAAAGATCGTCCCTTCCACCCCCTTCCATGAGTAGGGACACCTTCCACCAGACCATGTTGCTCAGAGCCCCATCCAACCTGGCCCTAAACACTTCCAGGGATGAGGCAGTTTCATAAGTTCATCACTCCCCCTTTTTTCCTAAGATGAGTAATCTGAGCAAGATCCCAGGTCCCCTGCTTTGTGTAATGTTTTCTCTAACCAGTTGTGTTCTGGGCAGACCTGCCCTGGCCCTGCTGAGTTTTTCTCTCCTATGGTGGTGTGATCTCCATGGATATGCACCATCCTGGTGTGTAAGAGGGGGGCCCACAGCTAACCTGTCACTGGGGAATGTGAAATAAGAGGAGGCTTTTGTCCTTGGCTCCTCTGCTTGTTGGATGATCCTGGGCAGCAGATCTTCACTTGAGAAAGACTTTCTTTACTGAAAGGCTTGTTAAGCATTGGAATGGGCTGCTCAGGGAGGAGGAGTCACCATCCTTGGAGGGGTTCAAGAAACAACTAGTGTTTCTTTTTGGTTTGGGTGACAAGGTGGTGTTTGGTCAAAGGTTGGACTCTGTGGTATTAGAGATCTTTTTCAATCTTAATGATTCTGTAAATCACTGTAAGGAGTTGTCCCCAGCTTGGCCACTCAGACATTGCCAAAAATCAAAAAAAGTTGTCAGGAAAAGTAAACAGTAGCAGGTGGTGTTTTTCCTGACAACATGATGAATCCTTGATACAGGAAAAATATCAGAATTTAGACTGAAATATACATACTTTCAGATTACGCATTGGTTTATTTTTCATATTGGTTTGACTTTTTGAGTCCCTGTTTTATGATGTAGATGAGGCTGGTGAAGCAAGTGAGAAAAAACTGAGAATGCAGCTTCTTCTCTGGCTTGTCACCATTTACAGGCCTTGTTTAAAGCTGATTTGCCTTTTGTGCACACATCAGCTTCTCAGTGATAGACTTTCATAGCAGTCACGCCACCTTTTTCATTTGTGTGTATGTTGCCATTTTTCCACTCCTTCTATTGCAAATGCAGTATTTATAGCAGTATTATGTTGATAACTGAAGCAGCTGAGGGACCAATAGACAAAATAAATTAAAATGCTTTATTCATTTGCCACAATGACAGCTTGTCCCATGCTCTGTGTATCAGAGGTACAGATGAGGATAAAGGTTCAATGGCTTTATCTTACAACAGGAAAAGTTGAAGCAAAGCAGCATTGGATGGATACTTTCATTATCCTTAATACAGTGTAGAACTAGTAGAAATATCAATGCACATATAGAAAATGCACTCTGTATGGTGAAGAGGAGTTTTGCTGAAGGGTGGTACACGTATGTGGATGCATCTGTCCATATGTACAGCATCCAAAATGCTGTGTTGGCTAGAGTCTGGCTTCAGGCTTAAGTTGCCTCATTTTGAGTGGTGTTTTGGGTTATTCATTAAAGCACTTTCAGCCCTACATTCTAGGCATGTTACGTGTCTCTTTAATGCACATCAGTGGATTAATTCTAAAGCAAACATTTCCAGAGCATTAATTCCTGCCTTCAGCCAACAACATCTTCTTGCTAGAGGGGTGCAATGGGTTGTGTGGGAGGTGGTACCAGCCATGGGGACAGTCCTGCTGGCTGAACCAGCACACAGAATTTAGACAGACACTGGTCTCTTATTTTTCTAAGGTGACACTTAGCCAGAGCACATATACATATGTTAACCTGGAACTCCAGGAAGGTTGGAATGTAGTGGTGTTGAGCCAGGTTGTCTTCTGCCAAGTTGAAATATTTAAGAATTTGTTATTGACTCTATTTTGAATAAATTCCTTTCAGTGGAGCGAGTTTGTGGCCAGCTGCCAGGTGACTGCAGTGTCACTCCTTTATTTGTCACTTTGAAACAAGTCATGTGAGTTACTGTCTCTGAATGATTTTATTGTATGAGAGCAGAAGGTATTTGCCTGCTGGAAATTCATCAGGATGGTGCCTGCGCATCCTCACACGGGGAGAGTGACTTATTTACCTTCACTTGTTTTGAATAAACTAGTTTGGGTTTTTTTCCTTAAGCATCACTAATGTAATTTGTTGTTGTTACATAACTTTATTTTGCTGTCTGCTTTGGGGCACAAGACAGGGTCAGCCTGTAGTATGTGTTTTATTAAAACTTTTTTCCCCAGCTGAAATCATGGAGTAATAATAGATTTTTGTACTTTAAAGAAAAAAAAAATCAATCCACTTTTATTCAGTGTTAATCCATAAATAAAATAATGAAGAAAAGGAACAGAACTTACTCACTCTGGCAGCACAAGACACTAAATAAGAGGAGTTAACTTTGGGAAATATTTTTCTTTCAATATTTAAACTTTAAATATGAAGAGCAGACAAAAATAGATATAACTTTTTCTTTGAAGTTCAGAGTATGTCTAATGACACTTTAAATTGAATTAACTGATAACAAGTCTTAAATACAGTTGACAAAAATGTTGTTTTAAGACTCACTTCAGAAGCTTTCACTCACAGAATGCTGCTTCATGTTTTATTGTGTAGTGGTATTGCATTTTCTGGGATGTTTGATAAGCAACAAAACCAGACTGTTGGTTTGTGAGCACTGACAGTTAATTTGTATCCACCAGCTGTTTTGTGGCCTGTGTCTGTCATGGTTTAGATGTCTTTGACCTACCTGAGCTGGGCAGATACTTCTGCTGGCTGGGCTAAAAAACCTGTGTGCTCCCTTTCAGAGCCATGGAAGCAGAGTGCAATTCCTTTTTCACCCGATGCCCCAGGTCATGAATCAGAAAATACTCCATTCATTGAGCTCATGATTTTCTGCCCTTCACCTTTGAGTGGTATCTACTCACAGGCATTAATAGGTGGGAGAAGTTCCTGGGTGCTCTCTGAGAGGATCTCTGGCTCAGGGAGAGTTTTGTTTTGATGTGCTGGTGGAGTTCTGGTGGAGGTGAGGAATAATATCAAGGAAAAACTGCTGCTGCTCAGGTTCTCATTGCTTATCCTGTCTCTCAGCTTGCTGGATGCACACCTTTCTCCTGCTGCCTGGGCACTGAGGCGCTACAGGAAAAAAGTTTTCTTTGACAGTGGTATTGTTGGGATCCTTGAGTTTTGCTGCATTCTTTGCATTACAAGAGATACTTTTCATCTCTCATCTCTCTTCCCCACTCCAGAACCTCACACTGCACAAAGTGCCTCTTGTTTCCTTGCTGTCTGTGTTGCACTTGTTCAGACTGGTGGAGTGGCAGACCTGAAAATTAAGATACCATGGCATGTGCATCCATTTCTTTCCTCTTCCTCACTTGGTCACATTTTTATTATGTGAGGTTTCTTGTTTCCTCATTTAAGGCTTCTTTTCCTTTACTTTACAGTCCTGTGTGAATCTGTCCTCACATAAAACTTGGATCTTATATCTACATCTGGATGGTTTCTTTGCATTTGAAACAGCAGTACTTCAAGTATTTGAAATGCATTTCAAGTTGAATAGTTTGAAAGTGTTTCTGAAGAAATACAGTGGTCTGATAGTTGGGGGGAAAAAAAAAATTCTTCCAGTGGTTTTCCAGAGTTGGGATTCATCTTGTGTTTGCCAGCTGAGGGCAAACTGAAAATGGAATGTAAGTAGAGACAGGATGTCTGGAAAGGACAGAAGTATTGATAATAAATGGTGGGGGGTGGTGTGTGGAAGTGCCACTTACATGAAGAGACAGTAGTCCCTAGCTTTTCCACTTCAAAAATATTTGTTTCTTGAGACGTGGGTTGCTGCATCCAAGCTATGAGTGTTGCAGGCAAACAATTTCCTCCTTTTTTTTTTTTTTTTCATTAATTTATCAAGCTTTGGCAAGGTTTGCATCCCCTCACTTGCTGTAGAACAGTGGGAAAAACAGAATTATGCAATTCCTGTGGACTCTAAAGTTAAAATGACTTCATTTGGATTTTATTAATTTATCAGTCACTAGGGAATTCTGCAATATTCTAATCTTTGCATTAGCAAAATGGGGAAGACCTAACCTCATCGGTGTTTAATGATTCACTGTCATTAAACATTTGAGAGGAAAAATGTGCTTATTACCCAACTCAAAAGTTTTTCCACTTTACTGCAGTGTAAACATCAAATTGTAGTTTTTTTCCAGTCTGCAACTGCAAAGATAGTATTGTTTTTTGCACTAATTACAATGCACATTAGTAATTTCTCTTTCTGGCAGGAAAGAAACTCAGCTTTTTGAAGGCGTGTCATTCTGATAAAATCTCGTCTCTTTGTTCCATGTAGTTTTGGCAGTTCTACAGACTGCTTCTACAAAAGATAGTTGCACAACGTTTGAAAATGAGAATTTCTGGGCTTTAAAGAAACAAAAGTTTGTTTTGAATTGTATTTGTTAAGGAAACGTGCTTCAATATTTGATATCTTAGAGTGAGGAAGAAAAAATAGTGGCTAAGTGAAGTAAAATGCATCTCATTTGTCAAATTGCAAAAATCTTACAAATACCTGCAAGTTAATATTCAGCTCATTTATAACTAAATAGGAAGAGAAATGGGAATACCTGGCTTACCTCACTTGGTAAGCCTGACTTTGTACTTTTATTTGTAGAATTTTATAAAGAATAATGTAAGATTTCTTTCATATAACCTTTCCTAGGTCTGAGAAAACTCATGTTTGATTTTAATTTAAATGTTATGTTTTGGATGTTTTTATGATTTAAAGCTTTAAATGTTGCACAGTTTTAGGTGTTTATTTGCTTACTATCTTATGATTAGCACAACCTTCTGTGGGCACTTCCCCTTGAGTTCTTTCCAGGATTTAGATTGCTTGCCAGGCTCTTTTTATTGAGCTTCCTCACACACTTCTAAATCCTTAACCCTGCCTGTTATTCAGTGCTACCAGTGGCTTTCC